ACATCAGAAAACCAACATATACAGCCTTGGCGGTGGAGGGGGGGGGGGGGCACGATCAGAGAGAGCGCGGTACTTGGTGGGGGGGATGGCGAGAGAGGAGGCAGCATGCAGACGGTCAGAGGTACAGAAACAGAGAGTAAGGAAGAGAGGATAACTTAGGGCGTTGCGGGGTAGTGTTGTGGCGTTTCGGGGTGATGTCTCGGGCATTCTAGTCAGATGCACCGTCAAAGTAAGGCGTCCTGCGCCTAGAGTCAGGGGAGTTGTAGCTGTTCGGTCAAATTTGCATGGTGCTGAAGATGAAGAGGAGCGGCGAACGAAGATCGAGGGAAGGACATAGGGGTCCATGCAAAGTGAGAGAGGTACAATTAGGACCAAAATCCTCCATTTCCCCGCACGCGTTAAGGCGCCTGTTCAGGGGCGACCCGGCCGATTCCGCCGCAAGGAACACACACGGAACAAGCGCACGTTCGAACATCCCCCTCCCGACAAAAAAAATAACGAGACCAAACGAAGACTCACCCTTTCTCCCAGGCTCCTCTGTCCGAAGTCGAGAAAAGTCTGCTCTTTTCCTTTCCCTGCCAGCGAAACGCCTCCTTCTCTCCCTCCGCTTGACCGCTTCTTATTGGTCGAAGAAGCAGTCGGCGTACTCTTGACTGTTCCCGGTCTCCTGGTATGTGTGCGTGCCAAGATCGGGGCCCGTCCGTGGCGGGGGTTCCGCACGTTCGAAACCGTAAAACAGGGGGGGGAGGCGTACTCTCATATTTTGCATGCCTTAGCCAGTAGATCTTTCGGTCTGCTTTTTGTTGACTCTTCCTATCTACACGGTTTCACGCCCTCTGATTGGTCAAACGTTGGTTCCTAGCCTTGACCCTCTCCAGCGCCCTCTCACCGTTCCGCATTCCGAGAACGCGGTGCAGCCGCGTTCTCACCCAGTTCGCGGCCGCTAGGTCGTGCGTTGGCCGTGGGTGAGGGTTAGGGTTGGGTTGGGTGGGGTTAGGTCGGCCACGGTGTGTCCTAGCCTTGCGCGGTGTGTCCTAGCCTTGCGCGGTGTGTCCTAGCCCTCAACACCGGATAGACCTAAAGAGTCACTAACAGGCCTTAAATACCGTATATGACACAAGAAAACACACCCCCTGGGCCGATTTTCAAAGCTCGATTTCTCAACAGCAGGAAGAGTCACAGCGCCGAAAACGGCGGCGTTGGAACCGTCTCGTCGAGAGGTTTTCGAAAATGTATTGTTTCGTTTATGCATCCTCTTCGTCGTGGAGTAATCGAGCTTTGAAAATCGGTCCAGGGGGTGTGTTATCTTGTGTCATATACGGTAGACCTCGCCTTAGCGGTCAGACCATTGACCACGCGTTCTCGAGAGGGCGGAGCATTGTTCCCAGAGGATGGCCAATCGCTCCTTCCTACTTTGCCAAAGGTGGCTCAAAAATGTCTTCTCTCAAATCTATCGACATCGCTTCCCGCATTTTCAACCCACTTCCTATCACACCCTGGACACTAAAGGAACGACGGTATGTTGCTGCTGCAATGGACCACGAAAAACAACTATCGACATCCCTTGCCAGGAAAAATAGTTTGGAACGGTTTCTATCGATATCCATTGCGAATAACGACAGATTTCCAAAGGTTCTGTCGACATCCATTGTCAACCGCAATAGATGTGCGAAGGTGTCTATCGATGTCTATTGTAGGTGAGAGTAAACTCTCAAAGGCTCTATCGATATCCATTGTCAAAGGCAATGGATTTTCTCAAGAGATGTCAATATGCGTTGTTGACTGCAATAGGTTTTTAAGCGTTCTATCGAAAGACATTGTCGATAGAGATAGATTTCGAAAGGCAGGATCGATAGACATTTCAACGGCAATATGGTCAAACGTCCTTTAGTTTGTATCAATATCCACTTCCTTTCATCACAAAAAATGTTTTCAAGGCTTTTAGTGAAAAGAACTCCCAACAATGTCTACCGAAAGAAAGCTTTCGAAATCGTTTGTTGCCAACAATGTCTATCGGATGACGGCCGGCGTACTATATTGTTGCCAACAATATCTATTGGAAGACCGGGTACCAATCTTTTGTTGTCTACCATCTTTATCGGCTGATGGTCTGCGACATGTATTGTTGCCAACGACATAAATCGAAAGAGTGGAGGACGAGTATTTTGCAGCCACCAATATCTATCGGACCACGGCCGGCAGAACCTCTTGCTGTCTACAAGAGATGCTGAAAGAAAGTCTGCAATGTCTTGGCAGTCAACAATGTCTATCGGAAGACAGCCTACGGCATCTATAGCTGCCAACAGCATCTATTGAACGACAGCCTGCGAATTCTGCCACAGCCAGCAATGTCTATTTACAACTACTTTTTTAGGGATGCTGTAGCCGCAATGTTCTATTTCTTTTCTATTGTCCAGGGTATAAGCACAACACTCATATGACATCTGAAATAGTATAGCAATGGCAACTGACGCCCGGCCCTAGAACGACCACTTCTCCGATTTTCTGCCATAGAGATGGGCCAACGAGCATTGTTGCCCTCAGTCGATCAGCACAAACTGTCTATCAAAGGGCATAGCCGGACACCATAGAATCGCCGGCTACCTATCGAAAGGCATTGCTAGCCACAAGAGAATCGCCGACTGTCTATCGATAGACATAGCTAGCAACAATAGATTTCCTCTCTGTCTTTCGATGGACGTTGTGAGCCACAACAGATTTCGCACACCACACGTTCACAGCCATTGTTGGTCGCAATGTATTGCTAAACTGCTTGTCGATGGACATTGTTGGCTACAACAGACTTCGCAGAGTGCAGATTGATAAACATCGCAGGTCGCAATAGACAACACACGTGTCTGTCGATAGGCTCGGTCTGTTACAGTAGCGTGAGAAATTAACCTTCGATAGCTATCACCGACGGCAATAGACACGTCTATTAGATAGAACCCTGTTTCAATAGCAGTAGACGTGGTCTGTTGTGCTCCCTATGCCCAGGAGAGGGGGGGTGAATGAAGTTACCGCAACACGGTCGGCGTCGCCGTTGTTGTTGGTATTTTTTCCGCGCATTGGCACGTGAAAGAGTAACCGTCAATTCTCGCCCCGGTACGTCCCCCAAGAAACTAAACACAGAAAAACAAATATATCATAAGTTAAACACCCACAATTTGTCGCCGTTGTGTGAGATGAACAAAAGCTTTTTCAGCGCGTTAACACGTCAACGATCCGCAACCCTCAATTCTAGGTCGCGGAGTTAGTGGGGGCAAAGAAACTACAGGAACACCGGAAGTCGCAGGTGCTGATACCTGCCCCACACAGGCGGGAAGGCGCACATGGAGGTCCGACCTACGCTTGTTGTATTTTTATTTTTTCCTGGCTGCTGTAATTCTCACAGACCTTGCTAACCCCGCTCGCCCGCTGTCTCCCCGTTGGCGCGAAAGGTAAGGGGTTCACATCGAGCGACTTCGCGGCTACTGCCGTTCCCGGATGCGCTGAACAGACGTAAGAAAAATAGTCCCTACCGACTCTAGGCGCCATGGGAGACCCCAGCTCAAGGGGGTGTACCACTGCACACACCCTTGCCTACTCTGCACGGATCGAATGTCACCCGGGACGTAGTTACATCATCTGAATACGCATACCGCACGTGACAGAAGAGATCGCACCCCCTGGACGGATTTCGAAAGCTCGATTTCTCCCACACCAGAAAGAGTGGCAGTGCCGAAACGGCGGCGTTGGGGCCGTCTCGTCGAGAGCTTTTCCGAAGCCGCATCGTTTCACTTATGCATCTCCTCTTCGTCGTGGAGTACGCGAGCATTGAAAGACGGTCCAGGGGGTGTGTCATCTTACATCTTATGCAACTTACGGTATATGCAATATGAAGGGCCACCCCGGCTGTGTACCTCTTTCAGCAAAGAGGAGCGCTCACCTTCTCTTGCGGCCGACGCTGAGCGGGTCCCCTGCACCCCACAGCCTGCGGACGCCGAGGACCGAGGACGACCCGACGCCCCCGCCACTCCCCCAGCTTCCGCCACGGCCGGCAGCACCGCTGCTGCTGCTGCTGCTGCTGCTGCTGCTGCTGCTGCTGCTGCTGCCCGGCTTTTTCTCGACACCGAGCGCTCCGACCGCGGTAGCGGGAGGAGTCAGCTTGGGGGTTGGCGTCTTGCTCAGGGAGCACACAGGGACGGCGGCGAGGGATCGTCGCCTCTGCTCTCGCGCGTGGCTGATTGCTGCGGCGGATGCTTCGGCTGGTGGAACAACGCTGCTGCTGCTGCTGCTCCTGCTGCTGCTGCTGCTGCTGCTGCTGCAACTGTTGCCGCCGCCACCACTACTCATACTACCACCACCACCAGCTACGCGCTTTCCTGATGGAGTGGACGAAGGTGTGGATGGGGTTAGTCCGCTGCTGCTCGTGTCGCCGCTGCTACCCTGGTTGCCTACGCCGCTCCGGGCGCTCCTGGCAATAGGTTTGCTGTTGCGCCTGGAGTACGTCTTCATCACGAAGAAGGTCAAACGCGGTGATTCTCCCTCTACTACTTGACGTTTGCTTGGGTCCCTCGGCAGCGGTGGAGACGACGCCGTGGTGATTTCTGCCGTGACCCTCCTAGCCCAGTCTCTCTGCTGCTGTCTCGATGTCTCTCATTTCCGCGGACACGTTGTCTGCTGCTGCTTGGATTTCAAATTTCAAAATGTGTGCTCGGTCCAGATGGGAGGTCAACTTTGCCGGAATATAGGCATGCAGTACTATGCGCACCCGCACAATTGCACGCGTAGTACTGACTCGCCTCCTTGACCAAGAGAGAGAAGGGGAGAGAGACGCACGCCGTGGGCCTTGCTTGAACAAGAAGAGGGCGCGGTTGAAAGGACGAGAGGTATCCGGCACGGGAGCTCCGTGTGATGAATTTGGGAAAGCGTCCAGGGGTATGAGGTGATTCCGCGTTGCCTCTGCCCTTGTCACACTCCTCAGCTGTCTGCTGTTGCCGCTGTCTCTTTGCCGTGTTCTCAGCAGCTGCAGCAGCTGTTGGTGGAGAGCAGGAAGGCTTCAGGAGTTCGCTTTGGCATGGTTGGGGTTGGTTTAAAGTATGGGAACTGAGCTATCCAAGCAGCAGTGCAGAGAAGGTGGCGACGACAATGGTCGACGGGCAATGGATTCGTCCTCATCGACTGCTGCTGGAGGCAAAGCACCCACAACACAGGTGGTCGTCGGGAAATGGGCTGGCTGGTTGCAGGGTGCCGAGATGCTATACCTCCAGGGAAAGTTCAGAGCCTTCCAGGAGGTCAGTACGCTCTTGTGTGTGTCAAGCTTGCCGGTGGAACACATAAGTCGCTGTAGGGTCCACAAGATCAACATGGATCGTGTGTGCCGAGATTTGAATTTGGTGCATCTGCTGTGGGCATAAGTAGCTTACCTCACCACACGAACAGCAGAAGACATCTCCAGTAACATGCGACCGTCAGAATATTGTTAAGAGTCCATCGACAGAGCTGCATGTATCAACTGCTGTAAGTGCCTCACGTAGAGTTGGTGAAGTGAACCAAAATCACACCTGTCCCATGCCTTACGGTAGATACCACCCGGGATGCCGCTGTTGGGCTGAATATCGCCTGCCAGCGGCGAGAGCAGCAGAGTGAATTTGCGGTTGAGAAATGCCGGCGCCACCTTTTGTGCCAGTGAAATAGTAGACACAGCACATATGTAGAGCACATCAAGTCGTTTGGTGCTCTAAATAATGGGTGTGCCTTTGAGCATTGCCAGTATTTTGGCCTGGCACATCCACGTCAGTCAGGTACTGGCTGTATTCATATTTTGAGTGAGATGGTGGGCGTCGAACGTGGACCCCCTTCGCGAGATTCATAAGTTTACGAGCAACTAGATCAAGGGACTCTTTTCATATCCCAACTTCCACGATTGTATGTTTTTTCAACACGTCTGCTTAGTACAATATACCTGCAAAGGCTACTGTCGAACATGGAAACTCCGACAGCAGTAGACCTGTAGACCTGTAAGACTTGGGTTGGATCACAGAGGAACTTCTGTGTGACCATGGACCAGATCTCTTCAAGTCAAAAGGCAAGGCCGGTGGGGTAGGCAGACTCTAGAGCGTCGTAATATTGGGGATCACGAAACATGATAGAGACGTGTTGGGTAAGCTTACTATCTTTGGCAATAAGAGTGGGTGGGGAAGGATAGATGCCACTGAAGAGAGGAATACTTTGGCGTGAAGATACCGCCAACACCACGACTACTACTGCCGCCGCCGCCGCCGCCGCCGCCGCCGCTGCTGCCGCTGCTGCTGCTGCTGCTGCTGCTGCTGCTACTGCTACTGCCACTTCACCTACCACTTCTACATTGGTCACGTGTTTCTGTGATAGCCACGGCGATGGTGGCCAAAGAACCACCGTCCAGAAACAACCGCACACCTCCCAATGTTGGCCCACCCGGGAAGAGTTCATATGTTGTTTGTTGCCGGGCTCGCACACTGCTCTGCAACTTTTTCCGACGCGAATCTAGAACCATGTACCCCCATCATCGCAACCCATTGGCCACCACACCCCGTCAGGCACAGACGACCAACCTATTTCCTCTCGTCGCTCCCTTCAATTTCACTCCTCACTCAAACACAGGCTCTGCAGAACGACGTGCCCCCCCTACCGACAGAGCCGCTGGCCGCCTCGCTCCTGAAGGCGGTGGCTAAGGCCAACGCTGCCATCGGTGGACACGCCGAAGCATCCCTCTTCTTGTCTTCGACGGGAGGAGCGGGGGGGACGGGAAGCGAAGTGGCGGGGGGTCGCCATGGGGGGGGCGACGGCGACTCGGAGGTCCGTTTTTTTTTCTTGTGTAGGAAAAGCTGGGCGCCAAGAGGGGTCTGAAGAGAGGCATGGCCGTGGCATTGCGGAAAGAAACCAGGAAAGGGTTGTGAAGTTTTACGGCGCGAATATGTCCCGGAGAAGGCGGAAAGTGTGTCTTGCGTGGCCGCTTGCTTTGAGGTTGAACGCGATGGCCGAGTCTAGTGCAATATGAGGGGGGAAGAATAGAGATAGCTGTGTATGAGAGAGTGTACTACATTCACGCTTGTGTAGTTACAGACGAACGAAAGCACACCCAGGACAGCAAGTGGAGCGCCGAGTGGCATGCACTGCGCACAAGACCGAACATGACTGCCGCAGCGCTACCCGGCAACCCGTGTCGTTCTAAGACGCCCTCCCGCCACTGACGCACCCCACCGACACCCACAAACGCAGGCGGCTCGAGAGGACTCCACCGCCGGCCTGGAGGCCGCCCTGCGAGAGGCCGTCGAGGTGGCCGTAAAAGCGACCTGCGCTTCCTCCGCCACCTCGCCGTCATCGCTGCTGCCCCCGATACCGGCGGCGGCCGGGACCGAGGCTGCGGGTCTAGGCGTTGCCTTGCTAGCCGCCGCGGCCGAGGATGTGGCGGTTCAGGCGGCCTGCGCGCTCATGGCCGCGAGGCTGGCTCAGGGCGAGGTAAGGAAAGGGGCGGGGTATCGCGTTTTTGTTTTCGCTTGTTCTGCACGCCTTTGCTGCTAGGCCATTGATCACGCGTCCCAAAGAGGACAACGGGTGGGCGTATTCATGTTTTGCATACCTTAAGTGTTAGGCCATTGGCCACGCGCCCTCTAGAGGACGGAGCGTTGTTCCCACAGGACCAACCACCAATGGCCAATCGCTTCTTCCTACTTTTGCCAAAGGTGACTCAAAAATGTTTTCCCTGTCCTATCTCTCCTCTCTATATCACTGCTTTCCGCCTTTTCAGCCCGCTTCCGGCGGCGGCTGGGGACTCATGCTTTTTCGATTGTTTGGGTTTTGGCCACGATTGACGTTCAAGGCATATAGAGGAGCACCCTTATTGTTTCTGCCAGAGGCGCGGCCAGCTCCCCCCCCTCTCTCCGCGTGTCTGCCATTCTTTGCGTGGGGATGACTTGTTGCTTGCGTCTTTGGAGTTTTTTTGGCGACCGACTTTTTCCTGAGAGTACAAGGATCCTCTCAATGTCCAAGGCAACCAGTCTAACCTTCCTGCATCCATCAAGATCTTAATGACATCCTTCGTGAGAGAACAACCCTCTCTTCTCCCCTCTTTCATGTCTGAAGTTCACCTATTTTCTCTCATGAAGTGTACTCTCTTCATGCGGACCATCCGGAAATTCTACCCCCGCCGTAGTGCAAGGGGGGGGGTTACTGCTTCTTGGGTCAACTTTTGTCTTTGGAAACTTGATCGCGAGCCATAGCTGGCCACATGAAACGCTTGTGTGTGATTTCTTATTTAGCGTCGACCGCACTAATTGGCTGACAAATGAACATACGTCAGTCTTGTTAGCAGGATGAAAAACACCAGCACTTTCGAAACAAAGGGTAAAGGCTCTACCGACATATCATTCTCCCATGCTAACACCGTCGCCCTGTAATGTGAGTGTTTTGCTTAATGTTGCGTTGTTTGTCGGGGCTCTTCGCTCTGTTTGACAAGGCTCCAGGGTAGTTTGATTTACCGCAAGTGACGGGTCGGTAGATGGGACAACGAATGACACAGCAGTTTTTTTTTTCACTCCAGCCCTCGCTTCTGTCTAACCCATGCCTCCAGCCAGAGCTAGATCTCCGCCTTCTTCGCCCCCCCTCCCCCAACAACGACGCCCCCCCCTTTTCCCCCCCCCCCGACCTCCAGCCCGCAAAGGCGCTCTCCGTGGGCGTGCGGGTACTGGCGAGCCGAAAGGCTACCATTTCCGCCGCAGCCGCTGCTGCACAGGGTACGGCCGCGGACCCCGATACTTCTGCAAGCATCGCATCCAACGGAGGCGGTGGCGGCGCCGCAGGCAGGGGGGGGCGCGGGCAGGGCGCGGGGGGCGGGGGGGATAACGAGGAGAGGATGAAGCAGGAGGAGAAGGAGGCGGCTAGAGACGTGTTTTGGGGGGTCGACGCGCTTCGAGAGGCGTTCGGCTCTGCGCTCAAGGGGCCGGGCGCTGGGTGAGTCGAGGGGTCTCCCGGAGAGTTCACGCATACCGTATATGACACAAGATAACACACGCCCTTGACCGATATTCAAAGCTCGATTTTCTTAACGGCAGGAAGAGTCACAGCGCCGAAAACGGCGGCGTTAGAACCGTCTCGTCGAGAGGTTTTCGAAGATGTATCATTTCGTTTATGCATCCTCTTCGTCGTGGAGTAATCGAGTTTTGAAAATCGGTCCAGGGGGTGAGTGACTTGTGTCATATACGGTACGCACTGCTCGACCTGTAGGTGAATCAAGGAGCTTTTTTTAATGCTCCCTTCACGCGTGCTGCTCGCTCTTCAACAGCAATAATAACAACGATCACCACCACCACAAAATCAACAACAACAACAACAACAACAACAACAACAACAACAACACATCCCAAAATCGAAATTATCAACAACACACCGGTGGGTCGTGTGGAGTAGCCGCCAAGAACAGCGATGAAGCAACCTCTTGCATGCCACAACCACAACGACAACACCGCCCCACAACGTTACCTCGCCCGCCATTGCCGCTGCTACACGTAAAGAGGGAAGCGCCTGCCGTTATCGGAAGCTGCGCCTCGCCTCCTGCACCTGCTTCGGATGTCCTGGCTGCTGGCCGTTGCTAACCTAGCCCTTGGCCGTGCCGCCGCGGCCTCGCGCCTCGTCTCCGTGGGTGAGAGACGGAAGTTTTGCTATTTTTTTTTTCATCGCTGTTTTTTTTTTGTGTTTTTTTTCATTGATTTCTTCGTTTAGTTGTCACTTTTTTTTGTACTTCATGTTTTTGTATATTTTTGTTGTTTTTGTCATTTGTTTTATCGCTGTGTGTGTGTTTTTTTTTTTTATCGTGTGACGTTGGTTGGGTTGTTGCGACCTTTGACGAACGACGGGATTCGGTCTTGTTGGTTTCCGGTGGACCACTTCTAAGAAAGGGGCTGGAGATTACCCATATGGTAGTGTGGTATGACGCATTAGCGCCAGGAACGATGAAGAGGTTATATGAATCCTTGGCGTCAAATATATCAATCATATGACGTCGAACAACTTAACAAGGACAACAAAAACAACAACAACACAAACACCGTCAATGGCCTCACGACACGTTTTGTGTGATCGATCCGTCCATCCCCTCTCAGCGGAGCACGCGTACGGAGCACGCCGGTCTGCCTGGCGGAGAGCCAGTCTCCTCCTCTCCACACGACCCACCGGTGCCTCAGCCACCTACACCGCGCCGCCGCCCCCGGCACCCCTTCACCCTCTCGCCCCAGCCACGTCTAAGCAGGGCGGGGGTGGCAGCGCGAATGGGACTCTGCGGGGTGGGGGCGGCGGGAGAGACCCTGCGTTAGCCATGTGTCGGTTTTTGCGAGGACTCGGGTCCTTGGCGCAGGGGGATCTGGAGGCTGCCGCGGGGCGGTTGGAGGTGAGCGGGGGGGGCGGTGGCAGGGGGCCGGCTGATGATATTGGAGGGGAACGGCGGGAGGGAGGGTCGCAGAGTGGGATAGAGAGATACGGAGAGGGGGGGGAGGCAACGAGAAGAAAGAGGGAGAGAGAGATAGAGATACGACTACGCGATAATGTTCTCCTATTACCTTTTCACGATCTGTAGCTGTGATCGGAAGTCGCTCTCCCCTCTCTATTCCCGTACGCTTGCGGCCCGACCCCCTCCCACACCGAACTAACGACTTGACGGCAGCATGCGACCACAAGCATTTGTTCACGGCACTACTCCCCCCACGCAACTCCAGGAGAGCTTGGACCTGGACCCGCGGAACCGCCACGCCACGGTCTGCCTCGCCCACATCTCCTGCTTCGCCTCCGCCTCGCCGGCGACGACGACAACAAGCCTCGGGTGGGAACCTTCCGACGAACGGACCCACGAGCTGCTCCGAGTCCTCTCGCTCGGCAGCTCGGCCCACTTCGACTCCATCGAACAAGAAATCCTCTTGCGGGGAGGAGGAGGAGCAGCAGCGGCAGCAGCAGCAGCACCACCACCGGAAGGGGAAGCGGGGAGGTGCATGTGGAGGGCGGGCGGGGGCGGGGGCGGGGTCGAGGCGTGGGTCTTGCTGGCGTGCGCTGCGAGGGCGACAGGGAACGCCGGAGAGGCGGTGTCCATGTTCCGGCGGGCGCTGGCGCTTGACCCCCAGTGCTTGGAAGGTTGGCCATGGCTTTTTTTTTGTTGTTTCTCATTCGTTGTTGTTGTTGCTGTTGTTGTTGCTGTTGTTTTTGTATTTTTTTGGAGAAGTCAGGGTCATGTGTCGGGAGAAGGTTGGCCATGGCTTTTTTCGGTTGTTCCTCATTCGTTTTTTTCCCTTGATACATACTTCATATACTTCGAAGTATTTTTTTTTTTGTGAAAAGTTTTTTTTTTTTTGAAAAGTCAGGGTCATGTGTCGGGAGAATATTTCGCTCCACGGCGACTTTGAGGCGCGATCTGGATGAATCGCGATATCGTTCTGGGAAGAGGCTTAGGTGCTGAACTGCTGCCGCCGCAGCAAGCGATGTGCATTGGACAAAATTGGTGCTACAAGGCCGGCTGGGGCGGGGAGGGTTGGAGTCCGCCGTCGTCGGAATGGGGTCACACGCTACTTGTCTGTAGTAACATGAGCACCTCTAATGCTTTCTGGTTTCGAGGCAGTAGACAAGGTACTCGGGAGCTGCAGGGGTCGCAACTTGCCACCGCGGTTTTGGGCATGTGTTTTGGGGACCACGTGGTGGAACAGAGCCATCACAACGGTGTTGGTACGAGAGGAAAAAATGACGAGAACAGACGCCAACGTTCCTGAGCGACCCAGACACAAATTTGTTTCGACCAGCACCTAAAAGTATGGCGGGAAGACTCTGAACGACCTCAATGCGCAGTGATGGCTACACCAACAAATTCTCCCCAGTTATAAAAGCACGCACCCTCTCGAACCCCCCACCCCCCCCCCACCCCCCCCGGACCCAACATCAGCGGTGTACGGCGTCGCTCGTGTCCTGCAAGAGTCGGGGGACCACGCCGCCTCCCGCGAGCTCCTCCTCTTCCTCGGGGAACGTTCCCAAGAACTTTCAGGAGGTTCTTCGCCTTCCTCGAACGGCGCCACCTCAGCCGTCCACCAAGGGAGACGTAGCAGCAGTCGGTCGTCGTCCCACCAACACCGGCTGTGCTTCCCGCTGGAGGCAACGAGGCAGGGTTTCCAACCGAGCGGCGGCGGCGGCGGCGGCGCCTCCGGCGCCCTCGTGGTGCTACCGGTGGCGCCGGCGGAGGTGATGTGGCGAGTGGCGAGAGCGTCCATGGCAGCGAAGGACTGGCCCACCGCTATCCTTGCGCTGGAGGGGCTTGTTGCCGCTGAGGCGACGGCGGACGGGGTAGCATCATCCCGGGAGGGACTGGCGTACTACTTCGCCTCCTTCGCGAAGGACGGGGGCGCCCGAGCGTCGCGCCGCGGCCCCGGGAGAGCGAGAGTCTTGCGCGCGCTCGCCTTCAGCCAGATCCAGAGAGGGCTGTATCGCGATGCCCTTGAGACGGTGAGGATGGTGCTGGGGGATGGGTCCAGCGGCGGCGGCGGCGGCGGCGGCGGCGGTAGCGGTAGCGGCGGTGGAAGCGGAGAGGAGGAGGATGCTGCGATGCTGATGCTGCGAGCGGATGCCTTGGTGAGGACGGGCAGGAACGAGTGAACCAAATGTTGATGGACGTTGCAGCTTTTTCTTTGATGGGACTTGTGGTTGTCACAGGTGGTGTTCAAACAGGGAGGTTGTATTCATCGTGGGCCTCTTTTCTAAAGCTCTGGTTTCTCTTGGTGCATCCGGCGCGCGAGGCCTCTGCTATTTTGGGTCGGTACGTCGGTGAATGATACCCGTATACACACGTTTTTCGAACTTTGGCCCCCTTCCAGGGACCTTGACTTTTTGCCCGCTGGCAAAGAGACATCATTTCATTGGTCAGCCGTTGAACGCGGCCGATGCCAATCAACAAAGGCACATATTTTTTAGTAGAAGGCGCGGTAATGTTTTTGGTTCCCCCTACAAGGCTTGTCATCTTCTTCTCATCGATCGCGCTACCGCATAGCGAAGCACTCGCACTGAGTTATTGACAGCTTGTTTGAATCCGCAACGACAACAAGGATGCCTAATTCTGCGTGCTGTGGGCGGTGCGTCTCTGGAGACCACGGACCACCCGGAGTGTTATATCTCCCTGCCCCGTGGGGATGCCGAAGTATGTGCGGCACCCCGAATATCGCGCGGACTTTCGTAAAACCAGTCCACCTTCCCATCTGTCTGCACAATGTGTACGTGCGCCTTCTTTTGTTGTTCGTCTCTGGATCTTGCCTCACGGATACGAGCGTTGGCCCCGCGTTGCCTGAGTGAGTATCGTGTCGGACTCTCTCTCTCTTTATTCTGAGTGCTGAGTAGGGAGACAACCTTTTGCAACACGCGTCCGTGGCATGCCATAATCCATCCGTCTGCAAGCTCGCGACCTGAAAGGTGGCGACGGCTTGTGCCTCGAGGAGGGAAGAGGTGTGTGCTACTGTACCTTCCTCCTAGATGGGAGCGTTGCATGCTTCCAAACCACGTGTGTGGATAACCTCAGCAGCTCAATTACATTGTAGGTTGGGTGTTTTGTACGTTTGTAGGTATTTTTTTGTGTTTCATTTTGGGGACGCAATATTTTGGGGACGCAATACCCACACTTCCAAATTTCCAAACCCGTAGACCGCAGAACCTCGACCGAGGAACCGAAAAAATGAAATAACAGTTGGAATTTGGCAGTTTGCCATATTTTGCAAGAAGCAATAGTTACTGTATACAACGCCCCCCTCTTCCAACTGCAGTGTGAACGGCGGCGGTAGGTCTTAACACGGCGGTCTGCTGACGGTAGATATACCCCCCCCCCCGCGGTGTCCCTTGCCGTAGCTATGCCTGGAGGAAGACGAGACCTGCGCGGCAGACAGCCTCGACAGGGCGTTGCGGCTCCTCACCCGCCGTCCGGTGGACTTGTCCGTGCCGCCGCCGTCGCGAGCAGCAGCAACGGGGTCGGCATTTGGGGAATCCTCGCCGCCGGCGCCCAAGCGAAAGAAGCCTGCGCCCAAACTGCAGCAGCAGCAGCGGCAGCAGCAGCAGCAGCGGCAGCAGCAGCCGCGGGTGAAAATCACGGCGGCTCCGACCGGCGGCGGCGGAGAGAGCGACTCCCGGAACCACCCCGCCTTCTCTCCGCCCCCGCACGGCAACGGCGGTGGCAACGGCGCCGACATTGGCGGCGGCGGCGGCGGCGGCGGCGGCGGCGGGGCGACGGCGCAGGACGACCGCGACCGTAGACTCGCGCGGGCCGCGGCGTTCAACAACCGGGCGGTGCTCCTTATAGCCTCCGGCCGGGGAGAGGAGGCCTGCAGGCTGCTGCGGGCGTGCCTGCTGCTACTGCCGGAGGAGCCGCGCCCGACGTTCAACTTTTCGCTCGCCCTGTGGAGGCTGGGCAGGAGACGGGACGCGTGCGCGCACTGGCTGGAGGCGAGGCGGTGGTTGGGGGACGGCGGCGGTAGGCGTGAGGCGTATGTGAAGCTTCTGGAGTCGGCACGGCGGCGAGAGGTAGGGGTGGTCGCGAGGGGTGGTAGTATCGTTGAGATCAAGTGCCACAAGTATGGCAGGTGTTGGCGTGTTATTTCGGACGAAAGCAGTCTGTTGTAGGCGGTGTCTTTAGGACGCTCTATCGAAACGGTTTCGTTGGCAGAAAAATGTCTCGCGTGACGTTTTTTTGCGTTTTTGTGAAGCGTCCCAGCGGGATGGTTGCAGGTGAGCATTGCTGCCTGTTTTTCTCCCGATCTGCAGAGCGCGTTGCTGCAGCACCTGGTTCGACAGCGTGCTTTGTCGTAAGTACCATGTGCATACGTTCCTATGCTCAGCT